AACGCGAGTTAATTGGCTCTTCAATTACCACCGTCGGACCGCCGGAACAATGAATCGTTTGTGAATGAAGTGTTTACAGCCCGATGCTAATTTGCGGTACACCTGCTTTTCGGCAAATGCAACGAAGGCACAAATGTTCCCTACTTTGTAATCATTGCAATTACATCGCGCTGCACATTTGTTCGTTCTCAGTAAACGGTTAAACGTGCGTGTTTTTATTGAATGGATGAATGATTTCTCCAAATAGATCGTTATACGAACAATAAAACATAAATTGTATATTTAATTAAAACTGTACACACTGAAAAAAATACTAAATTTTAATAAATATTTGTTTTAATAAGTTTTACATAAATATTTACTAAATGTAAACATATATTTATTTAATACATAAATCATTAATTTGATTTAACTGTTATTTTTTTTACTGAATAAATATTCATTTACCGTAAACAAATGTTTACTTATTATAAGAAAAACAAAGGATTAAATTAAAAGAATAGATATTCGTCAGTTTGAAATAAGTTCAGTCACTGAAACTAAACTTTGTTTAGTTACTTAAAACAACCAGTGTGCAATCTCTCGATTACTGTAAATCTAGTCCCTTAAACTGCATGAAGATAAATCGCATATCTTTCTACACGTATTGATTGATACAGAAATGGTAAAATATGAATATCGCATCGCTAAAAAAATCTTATGGACAAGAGAAATACGTAGATAAAAGAATTCCAATGTTGAATAAATAAAAATTATTATTTCTATATATACAGAAAAATCATTTTTAAGTCTATTCTAATCAGAAAAATACAGATAGTTAATCATATTGAAATAAATATTTTATGCAAAAGTTGTCAATTAAAGAAAAATTAAGCAAAGATATAAAATACTATGACTTGACAAATGACGTAACACCTGAGAAGCTTTTCGAAATGAGTCAATAAAACTTAAAACAACTGTGCAAATGTAAAGATATCGTACGTAATAAAAATGCACTCGGGCAGTCTCGTTGAAAAGAGTTTATGCTGCATTTTACAATCGGTCGGCGTATTTATTCGCCAAGCGAGAAGAAACGATGCTCATACGACGCTATAGCACATCCTGATCGATTTAACGCCAAATGTCGCCGTGTTTTACACGCGGCAATAATGGTTGAAATCTATGTAGCCAATATTTCAAGCCACCCTTTCTCGCCTGCGCGTCCCCAACCTCCACACGAATGGCGTTCGTATACCAACGATACGTAGCCTTAGTTATTGGTCCGCATATGGACATCACTCGATATTTTATATTCTGCAGAAAAATAAAGGTATAAATGCAATTATGCTTGACATTTTTCAAAAAACAAAATTAATTCCTAAAAAATTTCAATCATGAATATATTGCGTGTTTCAACAAAGTTTAGAATAAACGCTTTGTCATTGTTTTTTGGCTAACAAACATTTGTAAAAAGGATAGGATAAAGAACTGTCTATTCTCTCTCTCTCTCTCTCTATTTTAGAAAAAATAAGTATAATTCAACATACATATTCAATAATTGAGGATTAATTATTCATTTTAAATGTTTTGCACTTCAAATATAATAGTATTTAGAGATGTAAAAATAATTCGTTGGGATTGATCGAATAAACGGCATTTACATATTTTGGAGGAAAGAGAGCGATCCAAAGAGCACACAGAAGAGTGATAGTCCCAAGGGAGGAATACGATTCTTGAAGTCCGACAAAAGAGAATCCTTCTGTAAACGACAAGTATAATTTGCGCGAGAATAGAGTGCGTCACGCAACTTCAAAGATTACTTTCTAACAGGTACTTGTTAGTCCATTTCTCTTTATCCCCTTCTATTAGCTAATCTTTTCGATATGTATGTATCGTTCTGAATATAATATATGTCATATCTCATTTATATGATTCTTTCACGAATTAATAATTGTGGTATTTAATTCAATATATTCAGTAATTAACATTTAATTGTAAATTCGTTGATTAAGTAAGATATGTAGATTATAATTTTTATATTTTAAAAAAAACCTGCGCTCTACTTTACAAATTAAAATTTCATTACATTGCACTTAAAAATAAAAAAAAATTCAAAGAATGATACTGACAAATGTGACATCAGCTTGTAAATATAAATGAGTGATTTATCAATCGATACTATTTTTTTAGGTACATTGTATTAAACTTAAGTTTAAGGGTTCCCGTTTTCAGACGAAAGGATCGTTGTAACACATCGTTGTAACACATGTGTCTTTACGAGAGTGTGTTCACGAGCCCGTAATATTTTAGGGAGCCCTCGTGGTCCTCGTTCTTTAAAAACTAGCCAGTGCATATGTCGACGTAGGCGACATAATGTTATCAAGCTGTCCAGAAAGAGCCGCCACCGATCGCCGCCACGTAAGAACGAGGACCTCGGGGGACCACGTCCTCGCTCTCACCCACTTCGTTCTTATTGATATACCGAATAAACACACTTGGCAGCTAGGCCAGAGCGGCTTTGCGAGGCAAATAGCTTCGGAAAAAACCCTACGTTAGGGAGGGGAAATATCTTTCCTTCCTTAAAGTCGACACCATGCTCGACGCTGATAACAACAATTGTGAAAAAAGCTATAAAGACCGCTATAAATTATAATGTATGAAGATAGAAAAAGATAAATTGCTTGCTTCTGGAAATAAATTATTTCCGCATAATATAATAAAAAGAAATTATAATAATTCTATTGCTAAGTTTTATCTCGCAGACAACTTATGCATGCGTATTGTAGGATTCGTGTTACACTAGAATTTAATTAGACGTTGCCACGTAGTGATGTATTCGTAACGGAATCGCCTTTGGTTTAATCTGACTGAGAAATTGCTCCTTTCTTAAAGTACCGTAAGTTGTAATGAGACTGCTTCATTAAATTTGACTTCGCAGTAAAACAAGATTTTATGATCATTTATAATATTTAAAGAATTAGTGTCTTAACATCATAAGTTTTATCAATATCATTGTTTTTGTAGGCATTTTTATAAACGCGATTTTAAACTGTTTTTTTGTTATTGTATCAGTTATTTTATTGAATCAATTTTATGACAATGTACATATGTATATTTTCAAATAAATTTCCTCTCTTCTTATATTAATTATTTGTTATTTTACCTTCATTCAATCATTAACTTCTTCATTAACAACGAGAAATTCACAAAGTTTCATAAATTTTTATTTTGCTTTCAAAAATAGCTGCATCAATTACATAAAAAATTATATAAAAATTTAAGATTATAAAATAATAATAAATAATTTAGTTCTACTATTTTTACATTTTAAAGTAATAAAGAAAAGAAATTTGGCTTTAACATCCTTTTAAGTTGTAAAACGTATCTTATGAAGCCTGACACGCCGCCGAAACGTCATTTACCTTGTAAAATGGAATCTCATTCAGTCTCCAGTTTCACCCCCATAGCTTTTAAGTTCAAGCTTCGACCCTTATCGACCGCACCATGGACTTTGCGCACCTCGTCGAGTGCAACGGTTATCCAGTAAATAAAGATGAATAGTTTCCCCATCATCGCTCTCTCGCACACACACATAATCGCGAGTATGTGTGCGCGCAGCAACGAGACGATTTTAAATTCCGCGAGTCAAAGCGATGTTTGACATGGAAATGTTGAGCGATGCATTAAACATGCCACGCCGAGTACTTCCTTCTCCCTCCCGCAAGATCGTAATCCCCCTGTTTCTTCTAGAAAGACGAAAAGTGCTCCCTTCGACTGTCTAGGGCCTGATCGTATAACCGATGAACTTCGGGCCCTAGTACAATCGCCCTTGCATTGTTCAAGCTATGTTTATTTAGGCAAATGAAAAGAACCATCGTGGTTTCGCTAGTCCTCGGCCTTTAATCTCGGTCTTTATATATTCCTCGATATAAAGAAAATAAACAATTGCAGTATTAAATGCTCCTATTTCAAAACGATAAGAATACTGCTGCCTTCTTATCTCTTGTGCATCCTTTAAATCTTTAAATCTTTGTATAACATGTAAAAAAAATTATTTAAATACATAATACTCATCATTACTATATTATCTTCCATATTTCAGAAAAAAATAATTTGATGCTTTTCCATCCTTTAAATACAAATTCGCGTAATTGATCAGAAATAAGATAATAACACAGATGTCAACTTCAAGTTGATTTGCATATAAAGAATAGTAATCATTTAGGATTTTGTCATAAATAGTTGCATAAAGATATAATACAGTGTTGAAATAGAACAAGTTTAAGTTTAAACTATATTTTATATCGTGAAACTGTTATGTCTAAACGTAATGCTGTGATGTTGTATACAGTTCCAGATTGCTCGTAACTTTGTTTCAATGTGACATGTAAAGTTGTAAATCGTTCTAGTATCATTATCGTCGGCGAATTACGAGAAGCAGAGCACGACAAGCGTCGCGAATTTCCGAGTCGTGATTGGTGGAGCAGTTGTCGTGAAGCACCTGCAAGGCAATTTTACTGAATCTTTCAAAAGAAACTCCCGCCATTGTCCGACAAAATGACATCAAGCTTATTGCATTATTTAAAGAGCTTCGTTTTAGGACTACTTTAAATCTAACCCACGATTGTCGAAACTGATAACACAAGTTAGATTTTTCAAGGAATACGATCAATGTAATATTACAAATACTTTGAAGCATTCTTTGATTGATCAAAATTAGTAACATTCTTTTTTCTAATCAATCAAATATTTCAAAGCATTTGTAGCAAGACTTGAAGATTGCATCCATGAATGAATCATGAAGATGCATGTTTTACGAATTCGACATTTTTTCGAGATTAGCATGACGTTATATAATTAAAATAAAAACAAAAAATTAAAAGAAACGAGGAAAAAAATATTTTTAATGCTGCATGATCACACATTGCACGCTTAATTAAACATTTTTCTATAATTGCCCTCACAAGACAAAATATTTCTCTATATTATGTAGAAATTCGTTTCGCTGGGCTTTCACTTACCGGGTGAGATGCCAAGCTTCGCATGCATGCTACTGGGGCTTCTGTGATCGGGGGTGGTAACAGGGGCAGCTACGGGTGGCGACAGGTGGGGATGTGTCAGTGGCCCACCGCTTGTCGTCGTCGGGGTAGTCGTTGTGGCACAGGGATTTAAAGGTGATGTCCTCTTGAAAGACTGGTCTGTTCGCCACGAGACATCATTGTCACCTATCCAGACTTTACCTACGCAAGTAAAGTCATGTAAAGTTAGATATAAAAATACAATGATGAAGAAACACAAAATTTAAAATAATGATTACCGTCTTGAAATATAAATATATAAAATGCAAAACATTTAATATTTTCTCAACATTTTTAATACTGAAATCAATGCTACGCACGCACATATACTGTCTTTCATAAACGAGAGAAAAGTATGCACGATCTCCCTTGCTACAGCAATATCAACGATGGAAGATCAAATTGCAAAAGAGGCTCTCGAGATAAATTCTATGCCTCGTGCGTGTATTAATATAACGCACACCGGAACGACTATGCGTGTGCAGAAAATGGCTTCTCTCCCCCGGATAGAAACCGTCGTAATTAGCGACCCTCCGAATCCCCTATTCCTACCAGTTTTCCCGGTTTTCCCCCGTTTCCCTTAATTTCTGGGAACAATGCCTGGCTCTGGATGTTGTTCCAGACTGCAGTGTCTAATTACACGGGGGCATACCGAGCTCTTCCTTCCCAAATTTGTAAGGGCGATGTATGAGATACATCCAAGTGTCTATAAATGCGAACGAAACATATAAATATTTATCAGTGCCATCAAAAGACAAAATTTAACGAGATTAACAAAAAATGTTTATTAAGCTGTCGATAATATATAATTCATTTTAACAACAATTAGTGCTCGCATTTAGCAACTGTTAAATATAAAAATCTTTTTAAAATATTAATATGTAAATAATCAATCAAATATTATGAGAATTGTATTCATAAGAAATTTATTAAATCCACTTTTCGGATTTAAACTATATCGGCGTTCACACATAAATAAATTTATTATTATGCCTCACGAATGTTATGTTGCGTGCAAAGTCTCGGATATGCCGTATCTTTTCGAGCACCCCGTAGCTGGCAGAGATCTCGGATTTATGGAACACGCGAATACCGTATCGCCCCCGCATGCGTGCGACGTGACTCAGACTCGGTATTATTTGCTTGACGAATGATTTAGCCCGAAATACTTAGCTCGCTTTTCCCCATCACCTCTCTCCCCTACTCTTCTGCTTTTTCTCGCACTCCCCATCACCTCTCTCCTAACCGAATACTAACCTTTCTTCGTTCTCTCTACCTCTTAACGATAATCGGAGAAACGCGTTACTCCAGAGACAGAAATACAGTAACTAGAAGACGATAGGAGAATAGGGAGTGACGGGTGGTTCACAGCAGAATGCAGGAAAGCGGCGAAGATAGAACGAGGGTGGTAACTGGAGCCCGTGGTTTCGCGAAAGAAAGAAAGGACGTTCTTCCTATCGAGAGGAAAAAGAGAGGCGGGAAAAGCGGTGGGGCTGAAGAAAGTGTAGCCGGCGCTAACTAAGGGCGTCGGCTAATCAATATCATCAGAGAATGGCCGCTGACCTCCATCTACCCCGCTAGAACGACCATTGTCCAGTATTCCTGCTTTTCCAATGAGTCGCATGAGCGAATACAAAAAAAGATTCGTTTTTCCAGAAATGATAAATTGCAAAAATCTTTCGTCCAAAATGTAGCAATATCACAATATTATATTTACTACTAATAATTATTAGTTATATAAAAGTATCATTGTTTCAAAACTTTTTCAATAATAATTATAACATTTCGTTAAGTTTAGCCAACATTCTCTCTATGTCAAGATAATATCAAATTTTAATTAAATGATCCATTAGTCGGTTACGAACTTTCAGAGAAAGATATTAAGAGTCGCCTCAGTGTCATTTCCACAAGGATAACTTGCCTGAGGCTACGATTCAACCATAGTATAGAGGCTTTCTTTAATCTCGTGGTGTTTGCATGGTTCCCAGATTTTACTCAACCCCACAGAGACAATCAAAGTCAGTATACCCTAAAGGGCTAGTGAACTTGACGTAAAATTACACGCGAGTTTGTGGAAAATTCAATTATGCGAATCTGCAAAAATCGAATGTCTTTTTGAATTAAAATACAAAGAAAAACGCATTTAAATAATTTCTTGACGAAGAATAAATAGAAAATAAAAAAAAAAGCACGACTAATCTCTCATCCGACTATAGATGCTTCGTTCATCAGTCTCATCTACGCGTCCCTAAAGTACCCTTCCTTTCTTTCTCGCAATAAGGGTCGTAGCTATGTCCGAACAGAAATCAGTCCGCATAAACAGAACCATCCATTCCGCGATTCGCTCCTTCTACCCCTCGTAAGCCTTGCAGAGAACCTTCCCCCTCTTCATCCTTTGCATTCTCCCTCATCCATTCGTCCAACTCGGCGCGAACTCCATTCACGGGTTTATCACTGTCCAGATAACAACGATTTACCTACAGACGAACTCCTACGGGTTAGGTTTCGGGAGGATAGGAGGGTGCGTCTGGTGGGGTTGCCAGAGAAGAGGGACGAGGTGAGCCTCATGGCAGGACCGTCGAAGAAGGCAAGACGGGCAGCCACCTTGCATTCGGGAGTATTTCACTTTAACGGCCCTCCAGGGGATTGGCTGACCCCGACCGGAGACCCTTCACCGTTTCGGCATAATGGACCTCTACATTACTTATTCGTCCTGGCCAATGTCCTGCTAGCAGCTCCGTTCTTGACTGCGGCGTCGACGAAGCCGCTCGTTTTCCACGTCCTACCATTCCTGCGTACGATTAATCGCATGTCGCGCGAACAGGGATATCGAAAATTGGGAATGCCGCAATAGAAAACAGTTTTATATATTAGACAGAAAATTAAACGTTTAAATACACAAATATTCATCAAACTGTAAACTCTATATCACATCAATGACATAAATTAGAAAATATAAAATATTCAAAATTTTTCTGAAAAAATGATTAATTTCAATGTCTAAAATATTTTTATCCAATCACATATTTCCATCTCCTTTTCCAACAAAAGACGATAGAGCCACCTTTGCTGATTTCAGCTTCCGGGTACCGGCCAGTAGCACGGAAGAACAACACGCCCCGAGCAAACTGCTTTTCTCTCGAAAGAATTGAAAATTCCTGCTCGTCCAAGGGTTGAGGAGGTCGACGATGGAGAGGGCGGTGGCTGGGGAGACGAAGAAGCGGGACGAGGAAGTGAACGCGGATAAAGCGTTCGATATAAGATTAATGCTAGAGGCCGCCGACCAGTCCCGCGCACGTCGAGGACCGTTCAGCCATACACGAAAGCAATGGTGATTCCTCTTTGAAGGTAGAACCGTGGGCAGTGGCCAAATTGAATCCTGCTTAGGACAGAAGAAGCGTCGAGAGAACGAGAGGACGAGCGAGAGCCGGCCCCAGAGCCCTTTCTCCAATAAATAAATCGCCGACCGTCCGTAGGTCTCCGATTTTCAGCTCGAACGTACGGATTAAAATCGACCGACCGATTTGTAACGACGAATACCGAAAGTAATTGCACGATTATCTTATTTCTGTGTCCTTTGGTTTCTTTTTCCATAGAAAATTATTTAACAAGAATATTTCGTTCAAGCTAAATACATTTCTAATCAAAGCACTTTTATATAAGCACTCTCTTATATATATTACCAATGTCAAATATAATACAAAATAGAAACTTCAAAGATATGGATTTAATAAAATATTTACTCTACTTTATGCGTATCACTAATTATATTATACGCACAAGAATATAAAAACATTTATCTTATTATCTCACATTCTATCTGTAACTGTTAAATATAAATTAATTAAAGAAAACAAAGTAGGATTATAGAAAAACTATCGATAAATCACTCAAGTATGCTGCGATAATGCAAAATAAGAGAAGGGTAAAGTCTAAAGAGCGTCTCGATTCTTAACTAAAACAGGTGTGAATGACTTTTAATCGGTCATTATCAGATTATACGAAACAACATCATAATATAAATCATATAATACTAACCATCAAAATGATGTCTTTCCTCATCGATCGAGATTAACTCTTTCATAATATTACTAATATTGTATTATCTGTCAATATGATTAAGTAAATCAATAAGTCATGTAAATAAAATAATAACGTACGTATTTTTTTTAAGTAGTTATAAAGTTATAAAATACAATACTAATAATACTTAATTGAATATTTACTTCAATACTAATAACAAATAATGTTATAAATTTTTACTTAAGACTACTTAATTTGTTCTTATATTTTTGTTTTTATTCTTATCTATAATAGTGTGGAAAATTTATGTTGATTTCATAGCTAATAAAATATTCTTATCTATATCAACAACTTATGAACAGCTTTATCGCACTCTTCAAATATATAATACTAATACACGATTTGTAAAAATATTCTAAAAAATAAGAAATCTCTACGTCATATATTATCAACAAACTGAATAAACCATACACTTGTAGGCGTGAAATTTTTCATTTCAATCCCGTTGACGCACACTTGTGATAAAATTACGAATCAGAGTAAAGTCCAGTATAAACCAGTATTACTTAATGACATTACAGGTAACTACCACTTATAATCTCTTAAAATTATTGACAATTATCGCAGCGAATAATATACACGGTATAAAAGAATTTCTCTTAGTATTCTTTAACGCACAATTATTTTCCTATTCTTTCTTTTACATTTAATTATCTTTTAATTCCTTGTTTTCCCAGACTTGGTGAAAATTCGTTGCTCATGAAAGAAAAAGACAAAGGAGCAACGTTCGCGTCGAGAGTTTCCCTGTTTCTTGCTGGTTGCCCTTGTCGGAACAACGATCGATAAAGCTGACCCTCTACCCCGCTACCGTGCACTCTGGGTATCTTGACACTCGCATAAGCTTGAGTGTCCCTAAATTCACACCCTTGCTTAACATATCGAGAGATTTATTGACTAATTCAAGATTAATATACCATCTTAATAAAAAACATAGATAACTACTATCTTTCCTCAACTCTTTTACAATTCAATATCAGAATTCTCAATGAGTAAACAGATACTAAATGATAATTCTGCTCGAGAGTAAAATGCTATCAAAATTAATCGCAAAACAAGATTTTATAATTCATATTTATCTT